CCCACATGAAAACAGTGTAGTGACACTGTAATAAGAAACCAGAAACAATGGTAAGGTAAATGATCCCAAACTATGGAATTCCTGGAAGGCTTAGCAGTGATCCTCCAGTTTGTAAAAGACAAAGACAAGATAGAAAAATTCATTTTGGCACTATGAAAGAGGGTGCAAATGGCAACAACAACAACAAAAAAGGCATCAGATTGAGAACTATGTGGCACCACAACATAGCTCTCAGGCTGGATTATGCAGCAGGGAGAAATCAAGACACACTGAATGAAGTGTGTTTCCGTCCACATCACCCCATACACTGGGCTGGGCTTGACACTGGAGCTGACGACTCAGTGCCTGAGAGATCAATAGCAGGTCCCTATGATATCCGTGATCTTTACATTTGGCTGCTCTATTCTAAACTCAGGGAATTCAGAAAGGCTGCGTCAGCCAGTAAGTAGAGTTGGACCTTTGGTCTTCAGAAGATACGCTTTTGTCTTTGGTTGTTTTTTGGAGCCCCTGTCACTTTGATGCCTTTCACATTTTTCTCCTCGCCTTTTTGTTAGTTGTAAGGTTTTCTCCTCCAGTCATCAAATCAGCCAGCAACTCACTGAACTTACTTCATTAGGTTCACGATCTATCAAAAGTGCATTCGGTGGTCAAGAATATTGAGACAGTATTATAGAAATTTCTTTTCGTTGTGGAGCTCTTAGTACCCTTATGTAAGGAAGAGATCAGAAGACTTCAACAACACAACACAATCTAGCGGTACTAAGGCAACAGGGAAGAAAAGTACCTTTCTCCAGGGGATCATCTCTGGAAATCAAAAGTAGCAAAAGCAAGAAGGGCCAAAAACAAGTTCTGAGCACAGACAACTGGAGCCTAAAGGACGGGAAGAATCTTTGTAACAATCTGTCTCAAATCACCACTTTTCAAAGTTATCCTATTATTGCCGCATTCCTGTGTGGTATCTAATACAATTTATGGGAAAATGTCCCGCCCTGACCATCAACATGGCAAATGAAGAAGGTGTCCCATTTTCTAGTGGTCCCTTAGAGTGGTCATCGGGACCCATCCTGTCTACCCAATTATTCCCCAAGTCTTCTTTTCAATCCTTACTTTTATTCACATGAAATGATTTCATATGTAATCCTTAAATAATTACTAACACAAATTATATTCCTAGCTGATGGGATGGGGGGATTAGATTCACACACGGGGGTCAGAACATTCCCTTTAAGTCATACATTTCTATGACAAAAGAACATGTCAAATTTAGATACTTACACTGGACTTAAGCCCTTTTCTACCTGATAAGGAAATTTCCACCAGTGGACTCTTCATTTACTGCTGTGGAAGGTTCATTAAGGCTCTTGGGGGCGGGGGTAGGGGGAGGGCGGGAGAAGGAGCTGACTTTTCTCCTTTCTTCATCAGTCAGTTATCAGATTTCTACTTTCTTCAGCCTGAAAAGGTAGGCAACCATTTGATGTCTGACTATTAATTAAATCTTAAAAGAACTTTAAATGCCTATAAAGATTTCTGCTTCCCTTTTCAAATGCACAGAGAGCTTTCCAAGTTAGTAATAAGTAAATCCATGTGCATTTCTAAATAAATTTGGGGTAGACATGGGAATTAGGGATGTAGCCCCATTGTCAGAGTGGCCCAAAGCTGCTCTAACGGGCAACTGAAAAACACACAACACAGAAGAGTGTTAAGAACAGAAAACACCTCCCTCCTATTTATACAGGGAGAAAAAACTCCTACCTTTTCCATTTCTACCCCCAGCATCTGCTCCTCCAACTTTCTACCAAATTCTTTTTTGCTCAACTGAGGACTACACTTGAGTTTGCTAATTCATCATCATCATCATCTGTTCTTGGTCATGTTGACACATATATTTCAAGACTGTGATATACTGATAACTCTAACCCACACAATGTCCCATCTGATCTACAATAAAAAGAACCAAGTGTTTGGTAAATGGATAATTACAAGAATCTCCTCTTGGAGTTTTCTGTCCATTGCAAATAATTTGGTATCTTGCCAAAAATTCTCCTAGGACACATGCACTTGTCATACCTCCTAGGAAGAAAAATCTTGCTGCTATGAAGATTCAGTGTTGACCATCTTGTTATTCAATTACATGGTATGGTTTCTATTTCCTAACCTGGTATTAAATTATATACAAAGTCTTTTAAGTTATAAAAATGATTCCAGGCCAGGTATTAGGTATCATCTCAAAAATATCTTTAGTGGACAGCCTAATCACTTCCTCACTTCAAAAAATATTATCAAAATGACTTTAGAGCAGGCTTTAGACTTGTGTTCACTAGACTCTAAGGGTTGGTCATGTGGGGCTGACAGTTTCAGGGCCCTGAAATTCTATAAGCATTTAAAAAATTCAGATATGTACTATGTGTATTTGGGACAAAGATCATCTATAGCTTTTATAAGCTCAAAAGAACCTGCTTGTGAATATCAAATATATATTCAGGACTTAGCAAATAAAAGTGTTCAGAAGTATTTGTAATTTACAATGTTTTCATGTTCAACTATATCTTGACTAGACCATAAATAAAAGCTTTCTTATTCTGAGCTCCCTGGCCTGGAGGAAATACATAAGTTGTAAAACTTAGTAGCAAAGCTGAAGAATAATCTAATTATTTGGGCCCCTAACGATTTCAGAACTTTTTCACAAATTTACTAATGAATTCCTTAGAAAATAACAAACTACCTCTGTCCATATAATTTACAAAAATGGCAACTGTTCATGCAATATGAAACCTAATCATCATTTGTCTCTTTTTACACATACGAAAAATCAAGATGGTAAAGAAGAAAGGTCAGTACGGGATTTCTACAGAAAAGGTTTTCCATAGAAATTCACAAGTTTAAAAATGCTGCATTGAAGTTTCTTATAAGAAAGAAATTTTCAAAGATTTAAATCTTGGGTTAAAAGTGCCCTCTTGAATTAAAATATGAAGTACAAGTATTTGGCTTAAATTTATGAAATTTGAATGCAAAAATTGTGCCATTTTTAAATTTATAAGTGTATACAATATGCTTAGTTTTTGTTTTGTTTTTAAGTTTGCTAGTTTTAGATTTTTCTCTTGGCACACTCAAGGGTCCTGCCTTTTACAATTTGGGTTATGTACCACTAAACAAAGATGAGTTAATTCCAAAAGCAGTCACTGTGTACGAACAGAGCCTACTTTCAAAAGGCCTAACACACATTCCTAGTATACAAAGATGTATGAATATGCATTTAAAGCAAAAAGCATTCTATCCTGTGAATACAGAATACACAAATCTCTGCTTTAGCATTTCCTTATGAACCCACAATTTTCCAATATATATTCACAGATGGACCCCTTCTAAACAACTCTAGGCCATTATGGTTAGCTCCTATCTGTCAGATGGAAAGTATGAAAAGAATACAGAAATTAACTGTGACAGGTGCATTGATAAGCCTCCAGAATCTGAGGACTTTTCTTCTTTAAATAGCAGGAGAAAAGCAGTAAAGACCTTACTGAAAAGAGAAAGCTTAAAGATCTTTCTGAAGGAAAGTTCTCAAAGGCTATGTTAAGGCTATTGGGAAGTCCAATTTAAATGAGAAGGCTACTGATCAAAAATAAGATAAAATGTTCAAGTCACCATTACTGGCAGCTCTGGCCCGGAACTCAGCCCAGGATTCTACTTTGCAGGCTTGGGGGTGGGCGGGTCCTCACTGAATACCCTTTAGTAGGTAGTGATAGCGCATGATGGAAGTGGTTGAAGCCTCAGGGACACTGATGTGGCCCTACAAATATTTGGTGCCTGCAGTTCCTATAGCTGTTTTGAAGATGGCTGGGAGAGATATTAGTCTGGGTTAAGCTGCTCAGGTCCAGGATAAAGGGGTCAAATCCTGGATATCCCTTCTGGGGTGAAATCCTGAAACTGCGTTGGGAAGGCAAGGGACCTCTTGGCAGATACCAAAGTCAGTGCTATTGGGAAAAGATTAAAATCAGCAGCTTAATGCCCTTTAGTGAGAAAAAGAAAAAATAAGAGTAATGGAGCATATCCACAAAGGAAAAACTCATCTCTAGGATAGTTTTTAAATAGATTCAGTTAAGTGCTTCCTCCTTAACCATTATGGAAAAAGTTTGGGGACCAACACACAGTTAAGCTGCTTAAGTTGCAATGACTTGTCTCAGGACTTAATTATCCTATAGGATAGGATAAAAGCTTTAAATCCCAAACATTAGCCATTTTATTAAATGGTTTAAAGGAACAACCAGCTTTGGGCTCTGCTCATCCGTGCAAGGATTAAACAATCTCAGTGCCCTGGCTAAAGTGTTCATGTTTTATTCCTGTTTTATTAGTAAAGCCTTTCATAGAAGATGGGTCTCTTGGATTTACACTGAAAAATAACCTTTTCTTTTCCATATTACATTATTCTTGAGGCAGGAGCCTAGAAGGTCTAAATTTTGCACTAGAGACTTAATCACCTGGTGGCAGAAACCACGATTCTCTGGTTACCACCACCACCATTTGCGATAGAGGACTTTAACTATGTAACTCTAGATACCGCCTTGAATGTAATTTTGAAGATCCACTATAGAAAAAGAAAACACAGTATTCCTAAGATTAGTCGGGAGTCCACATTTCACAGATAATTTTGGTTCTTCATCTATTCTTCTCACTTGGGCAGAAGATGGAAGCAGTGAGCAAGAGCAGTAAGGCAGCCCAGAGCCAGCTGGAGAATGACTTGCAATGAATGGCAGAGGCAGCAGGAATATCCACACACAACCAAACACATTGAAATATTGCTTAAAAGCCTCTGTAGGGCTTATCAAATTAATCAGGAATACAGCTCATACGAGAGTGATATTCCATATATCAAATATCTCTCTGTATGTGCCTGTGTAATATATATGCATATTTGCATATATCTATTTGGCACATGAATTTACTTAGGGAAAACAGCCTGGCAATTAATGTGGAACTCAAATGACATGGTTACACATAGATCATAATTTCTAAACACAATGTTAGTAAAACAAAATTTATTTGTAAAACAGGACCTGTTATATATAAAATGGCACACAATCAAGTTATACAAAAATACAAAATTTCTTTCTGATTACAGTTCTAGTTGCAAATGATAATTAGAAAGCATTCCTGGTGGCTTCCAAGTAGCTGAGATTGCGAGCATATGGAACAGGAAGCAGCCAGAGTCCATGATGCGGGGATGTCCAAGTGAGTAGAACCTAATTTCCAAGTTCAAGACTTCCATCAGGTCACTTTGGAGGGACATCTAAAAATAGCTAGCTCCTGGAATGTCTTCTGTTTTGATACCCATCTTCTAGACTTTTTGTCAATTCTAAATTTAGTTCTCAGTGTTTCTGAATGTCCAATGTCTGTGTGGGCTATGAAACAGATGGTATTCTGAATTTTCTTACATGATTTACTCTCTCACCTATTCGGACAATTGTTAGCCACATAATTATTTTTATTCCATTTCAAATGATATAAAAGAGTACAATGATACTGTTTGGCGACACTAGATGTTAGATGTTAACTTCTGGAGAATTATTATTTCAAAATAGCTACTCTCACAACGTCGGTTTCCCAAATCTTGCTAAGATATGAGCTCTTAATTGTGTGTGTGTGTTTCTTTTTTTAAATCCAGACTCTTATTGCAAATATTCTGAAAAGTCAGAAATATTACATGAACTTTGAAAAGAAATCAAGGCATTTAGCAAATTTTAGCCTAGCTAAGAACACCAATATTAAAAAAAAAAATACAATTTACCTTTTGCAGCAATTTAAAGGTCCAACCCTTTGAAAGAAAGCACATTAGCAAACAGCTGCTTATTAAGCCCTAGTGACATTAATTATATGCGTTTCCATAATACTGGTCTAATTCACTGTCTAATTCCGGTAGGAGTCAATGCTTTCTTTCAAAAGATTCTCCTTCCATGGAATGATAAAATGCTGAGGCTTTTTTTTTTTTCTGTACAGAGCCTGTATTTAGTGCAATAAGTTTAAAAAATTTGCTCTGAAATATTTACTTTACATTAACAAAAATAGCCTTTTTTAAAAAAATTGTAACAAAAAGGAGTTATCGCATAAACAGATCATGAATTATTCTTAGCAAATTACACTTTTTTTCTTAAAGCATTCACCATTACAATAAGCAGAACAATGGAATATTAGCCATTCATATCTGGTAAGCTTCAGGAATAAAGCAAAAAACAAAACAAAACAACCCCAAACCCACCCCCAAACACAAAGAACATTCGCACTGGAGGATTAAAACGTTAACCAATTCTTCAGTTAAACATTGTAGAACTCTGGATACTCAATGAATTGCCAAGGAGAGGAGCACCTGCCAGTGTGTTTTCAGATTTTATAGCAAGCATTTAAATAAAATGGCCATTTAACCCCAAGCCACTGACGTTCCTCTGAAGCAGAAGCCCAAGCACCGGAATTTCCAAAGCTTTAAGGAACTTTCAAAGCTTTACATTCCATGTTTCTGGCCCTTCTTTATCCCTCCCAGCATTACTTAATCTGCAAACCAATATACAGAAATAAAGGCTAGACTTGCTGGGTGCCCCAGCCTCCTTTCAAAATCAGGCACACAAATGTGTGGAGGATGCTACTGACGTCGAAAAGGAAAGAAAGACAAAAATACAAGAAAAAAGTTTGCATAAGAAAGATTATCTACCCTTTTCTTTTTTACCTACTTTCTTTTAAAGAAGCATTAGGGTAAACTACAAATACCTGAGGAGTTGGTTACCTTTTAATGTTGGCTGACAAATGTATGAACTATTATGAAAATTCCCATATTGGGCCCACTTGTTATGTTTCTAAAAATAAAATGACATGGCTTCTTTGATTGGGAGAAACTGATCAGGGCAATTCCTTATTTATCTGAAAGCATATGCCTGGTCTTGACCCACCAGGACACATGCATCAGTAAAATAAGTTCTTGATTTTACACATACATCAGGGAAATCACCCCTGAATAAACTTTAGACAGAGAATTTGGTACAATAATTTTAGCTAATTTAAATAACTAAAGTTAAAATCTCCTTTAAGTTATTAAAAATGTTAATCAGATATGAATCTTAACATATCCATTAAGACAATTACAATTGAAGACATTAAATGACGGAAGTTGCCTTGTAAAAGCCACCCGTATGAAAGGAGTACATGTTTGACAAAAATAAGCATAAAAAAGGTATTAAATCCCTGTTCCTTTTCTCTGATTTTGGCTGATTATGTGTGTGTGTGTATATACATATACCTATATATACACACATACATATACATATATACACACACCCACACACACAAATACATAGTTATGTGTATATATTGTTTTGGAATGTCAATGGGTTCCATAACCGTCGGCTAGGTTCAAGCAGAACTTGCTCCAGAAGCCTAGAAAACAAAGTCATACAGAGTATAATCTTAGACAATTACCATTAAAAATAGGGCATGAATGATGTTACAAATACACGCATGGTCACAGACAGCAACAGGGCAAATGGACTGAGAATCCTTCTCTCTGAACTGATATTCCCGGGGCTGAAATTCTTAGGAATGCTGAATGAAGGTCACACTTCCTTCGGGATCATCTCTGAGATGTGCAAAGCATGCTTCTCTAGCTTATGTCCCCACAGTACCCAGGCTTTCTCTTCCCTTTCTTCTGTAGGTTCCTCCCTGTACGATAGCAAATAGCCAGGCAGGAAATCTCTTCCCTACACCTCTTCATCACCTTTGGTAAATTTTTCTAAAATCGCTTTCAAAGAGTTACAGAAAGAATTCATAAACCTTTATAAAGTTTCCTTTACTAGGGAGGCTCCCTCAAGAAAAAAGTTTCAAGAGCAAAACTGAAGTTCTCATATTTTGTTTAGGGATCCCTTTGTCAAAGGAAAAATTTAAACCTCATTTTCCTTAACATTGTTTTATAGGTTAAAAACAACCCCTACATTAAAATATACCAC